ACAAATAACCTAAAATATGTATGGAACCACAAAAAAACCTGTATAGTCAAAACAATCTTGAGAGAGAAGAACAAAGCTGGAAGTATTACAGTCCCAGATTTCAAATAATACTACAAAGCTATACTAAACAAAACAGTATGGTACCAGCACAAAAAGAGACACATAAATCAATGGAACAGAATAAAGGGCCCAGAAATAAACCCATGTCTGCACGGTTAATTAAACTACAACAATGGAGTCAAGAATATATAATGGGGAAAAGACAGTCTTTTCAATAAACAGTGTTGGGAAAACTGGACAGCTACATGCAAAAGAATAAAACTGGACCACTTTCTTACACCATACACAAAAATAAATTAAAAAATAGAAAAAACATAGGCAGTAATCTCTTAGACATCACCCCTAGTAACATGTTTATGGGTATGTCTCCTCCGGCAAGGAAACAAAACCAAAAATAAACTACTGGGACCACATCAAAATAAAAGGCTTTTACACAACAAAGGAAACTATCAAGAAAACAAAAAGGAAACCTACTGAATGGGAGAAGATTTTTGCAAATGCTATATCTAATGAGGGATTAATATGCAAAATACACAAAAAACTTATACAACTCAACACCAAAAAAGTAAACCATTTGATTAAAAAAAATTGGCAGAGAACCTGAATACACATGGATACATAAAAAGATGCTCAACATCACTAATCATCAGAAAAATGCAAATCAAAACTACAATGAGATACCACCTCATACCTGTCAGAATGGCTGGTATCAAAAAGAAAAGAAATAACAAGTGTTGGTGAGGATGTGGAGAAAAGGGAAACTACAGGCACTTTTGGTGGGAATGTAAATTGCTATAACCACTGAAGAAAACAGTATGGAAGTTCCAAAACTAGAACTACCATATGACCCAATAATTACACTATGAAGTATTTACCCAAAGAAAATGAAAACACTAATTTGAAAAGATAAATGCATTCCTATGTTTATTACAGCATTATGTGCAACAGCCAAGATATGGAAGCACCAAAAGATGAATGGATAAAGATGTCAGATACATATACAATAGAATATTACTCAGCCATGAAAAAGAAGGAGACCTGACCGTTTGTGACAACATGGATGGACCTAGAGCATATTATGCTAAGTGAAATAAGTCAGAGAAATCAAATACCATATGATTTTCCATTTATGGAGAATCTAAAAACAAACAAATGAACAAACAAACAAAATCAAACAAACTCTTAAATACAGAGAACAAACTGGTGGTTGCCAGAGGGGAGGTGGGTGGGGGAAAAGATGAAGTAGATGGAAGGGAGTAAGAGGTACAAACTTACAGTTATAAAATAAATTAAGTCATGGAGATGAAAAGTACAGCATAGGGAATGTAGTCAATGATATCGTAATAACATTGTGTGGTGACAGATGATGACCAGTTTCACAGTGAGCACTGAGTAATGTACGGAATTGTAGAATCACTGCATCACACACCTGAAACTAATGTAACGTTGCATGTCAATTATACTTCTATAATGAAATAAATAATTTAAGGTGGCCATACTAGCCTTCCTACAAATTAAAACAAAACAAAACAAAAAACAGAGACAGATTAGGAAATTACTAGAAAACTGGTGATATATCTACTACAAAATCAAGTTTTACATTGTAAGAAATCTAACATTGTGCAAAATCATACACTAAAAACAGAGGATGCATGGGAAGACCACTTACCATGAAACTTTGTAATCAGAGCATCAAGAACGTAATAAGATACCAATAAAAACATAGCCATAATATGATATTTTCCATTTTTTATCCCAAATACTATACTCAATCACTTGCAGCCTTACAGTGAAGATTTAGTATTTCCTCCTCTGAGATGAAGATACTAAAGGGAATTGCTTCTAATAAAGTACATTATCATCAAAATTAAAACCTAAGGCATACTTTTCACTAATCTCTTCTTTTAATGCAGGGAAAAGTCTTAACAGACTCCTCTATACTCACAGCTTAGCCAGATATCTTGGTGCATTGAAAAGCATTTTTTTTAAATGTTTTGAAGGTACCTAACTGCCACTACCAGCACTGAAGGGAGGTTCTTGCGTATATTTTCTTATTCCCATGGATTCATAAAGAGTTCTCTAAAATGTAATAAGGCTTTCCCCCGATTGCATCAAACCTTAACATGTTAGGAAAAAATTACATATAAACCAAAACAATTTTAAAACCTTTACTGGCATCATTCCATCATTTATTAATTCCTACTGTGATGATTCTGTACCAGGAAATACACTGGGGGAAGAGACTTGACTTGAATGTTCCATGGAAGAAAATATAAGCAGAAAAGCAGAGGGCAATAACTTGAAACTTTCTGCCCAACACTGCATTTGCTTTTTTAAAAAGTCTGAGTACTTTTTTCCCTCCAAGGGTTATCATAAATTGTAAAAACTAAATCCTTAGGTGCTAATTTTAAAGGTGCCTTTTAATAGTTGCCTTCACATAATGGAAAAAAATGCTGATTCTTCAGTAATTCTTTAATAATTTTTCAAAAGTCCCTTATTCTACTGAAACTGCCTTAATACCTTCACTCAGAAGTTCTCAAGGGACTTCAAGATATTCTTCCAGAAATATCTTTACACCTGTTTTCTCTCTCACCTCCTTATATTTTGTTTAACTGATCTACCTGTTTGGTTTTTCTCTTGCTCTTCAATTAAGAATCTTCCAGGCAGTGTCCATATAATTTTACTGTACAGAGTATGTGTCATTATTTTGTTTCGTCTCTAAACATAATTATCATTTGTCAAAATAATAAACCTGAAATTTCAAGTAATTAATAGAAAGGAGTCAAATTTAAAAAAAAATTCAATTGATAAATGTTCACCATTAGTTTTTTTTTTTTTAAGATTTTGTATTATTTATTTGACAGAGGGATAGAGAGCTACACAAGTAGGCAGAGAGGCAGGCAGAGGGAGAGGGAGAAGCAGGCTCCCCACTGAGCAGGGAGCCTGACGTGGGGCTCCAACCCAGGACCCTGGGATCATGACCTGAGCCGAAGACAGCTGCTTAACCAACTGAGTCACCCGGGCGCCCCCACCATTAGGTTTTGCTGAAGTCAAAAACTGTCTCTAGTTATGAGTTTTCATCTTGTAGATTTTCAATACAATGAGAGTGAGTAGTAAATTTCATTACAAAGCTTACTTACAGTCAGCAGATATTACTTCTGTAAGGTTGTATTTGTTTTAGAATTACTCTAGCCTAATACGCTCTGGTTTCTCTTCAGATCACATAAATCTTTCGCCTTTTACTCTAGCCTATACACTTAGAAAATGAATATTACCCTATAAAAGTATCCCCCAGAAACAAAATATTTTGTTAGTCTTTATATGTATTTGTTATGAATAACTGATAGTTTGATTTTGAAAGTGCTTCCTTCTTAAAGTCTGGATTTAGAAAAAATTATTTAAGATTCAAAGTTAACTGATGATGCTTAGCGGTATAAATTAGCCTATAATCCTTTCATTATTATACAACTGTGCTCATGTTGTTTGGTATGTGAGTTTGTGCATGTACCGGCAAATGTTCTTTATTTCCTATTTTAATACTGACTTTAATGTTTGAAATATTCGCCTTGTCTGAAATGATACCTGGAAGTGTTTGACTAGAGTAATCTGACCCTCTCACGGAGCTCCAGTGAACAAGATATTATTATCCAGGACACCCAGTATTCTAGTAGCTCCGGTCTGCTGATATTTTCCACTATAAACAGGAAATCAAGAAGATTTAGGCCTCAGGGAAACTATCATCAAGTCCGCCCATCTTAAATTCTTAAGTTTCTTAAGAACACTCAGAATAGTTAGTTGATTTTGGCTCAGCTCACGATGATCAGTCATGAGATTAAGCCCCTTGTTGGGCTCCTGGGCATGGAGCCTGCTTAAAATTCTCTCTCCTCTACCCATCCCCCCGGCCACATTCTCCCACTCTAAAAAGAAAAACCAACCAAACAAACAAAAACCACCACTCAGAAGAAAAACACATTAGACAGAAATTAAAATACAAGAGAATCATCAGAAAGCCATTTTAAATCTGTCTTGCTTTCCTTTCTCCTATGCATTCTTTGCACATGCACATCTGATAAACCATTTTAATGTCATAATCAGAGTCCTGATGATGAATGCTTAATACCAAAACATTCATAAAGCCTATTTTTTAAACTTGATATCAAGGTGGAAACCATTTAGGAATAATGTGAATAATGAGGCTCATCTATTGTTTAAGTGTCTCAAAAAATAAAAGGAAGGTATGGACAAACAAAAGAATGAGAGAAGGAAAAAGAGACAAGGAAGGTCTAAAGTGATTGATTTGGGATTCAAAATAAATCATAATTAGTGAGACTGATCAAGGAAAATGTATCATTAATTAGTCTTGGTTTAAGAGTCCTAATCAACTAACTGCATTCAAGAAAAAAGGTAGAAATAGAAATGTGATGGAGGAATTGTAGAAAATAAAGTAGTCATATAACAAGACAAAGAAAATATGTATTTTATAGGGTTCTCAGAATTTAAAGGCTATAATGAAAGCTGTTCTAGCTTATTTCTGTTCAACTCTACATTAAGATGATCCTAAATAAATTTTTCATTCTAGATTGGCTCTTCCTAGCATGAAGTCAATTTCTACCTAGCCTTCTTCTTCAGCTCCTGTAATGTCATTGGGTGGACAGATGAATTTATGAAATGAAAAATAATTTTTTAATATTAGCCCAAGCAAAGTATAATTAGAAGAGAAAATGAACTAGAGAGGTATGAACTAATAACATTAACAAATATATATATAAAAGTAGGGATTATCTACTCTTTGAAATTCTCAACAGTGCAATTCCATTCCTTAGTACGTAACTAAAGGCCAAATTGGCATGTAATCAATACTCCAAAAGTTGTGGCAAATCCATATGTGGGTTTGTGTCTATGCTTTGATTTATATAAAATCTGCCTGAACTATATCTTACCTCATTCTGGAGATCTCGGATCATTTTACTCTTTCTTTCCATGTCAGTCTTTAAAAAATTAATCTGAAAATGAATGGAATATTATATAAGCACATTTCAAATTCATTCCTATGGCTTTTATAAATTTATTATCATGATTTTTGAAGCATAATACAATGATTATCTCTTTATCAACAAATATTGAAAAAGAACAAAGGATTAAAATTTTCATTAACCAAACTTTCATACCCAATTCATACATAGATCTACTGATTATAAAAAAGGCTTTTCTCATGTAGTAAAAGATTCATTTTTTTAATTGAGAAAACATGCATATTATAACTATGTAAACCTCAATTAAAAAAATGTGTTTTTTTAAAAAAACAAAATGAAGCAAACAACAACAACAAAAAGCTAGATTCTAGGGTTGGACCTAGAAATCTCCATTCATAAAACACTCCGCAGGTACTTTTGACCTATAGCTGGTTGGAAAGCAATTGCATAGTGATATTCCTGGTCTCTAAAGCACAGAATGTTATAATACCATACCAAAGAAATCATGATGTTTCCTTCTGAATTTGATATTGCTGGAATCTGTAATCTTAGGTCAGTTGTTCAAACTGTATTTGCATAAACATAGCACCTTTGCTGCCTGAGTATATCTGCTTTAGTATTTTGGAAAAAAAAAAATTCAGTATAGCACAGCTTTAGTATTTTGGAAAAAAAAAAATTCAGTATAGCACAGTTGTTAAAATCTGAGACTTTATAGTCAGTGAGAGTTCACTCTGATAAAAAGTGACTTTATGGTAGTGGATATAATATTTAATTTCTCCAATTTTTAATTTTCTGGTAGTCACATTTTTTAAAAAAGTAAAAAGAAACAGATAAAATTATTTTTACTAATATGTTTTATTTAATTCAATATACTCAAAATATTATTTTGACATGTAATGGATAATGATATAACTGACATTATTTTTTACAATATATCATTAAAATCCACTGTATGTTTTACACTAATAGCATATCTCAATTTGGACTAGCCATTTTATAATGCTCAATAGCCTTATGTAGCTAGTGGGTATATATATATTGGACAACACAGTCTTAGAGGATCCCTGGAATGATACAAAAGAGACTTGGTAATGTGGGTTATCTCTGGAGATAAACTGAATCAGTGGAAATCAAGTTGAGGAGTAAAATGAATTTTCACCATATATAGAGATCTAAAAAAAAAATAGTTCTGAAACATTTCAAACATAAACAAAAGACCAAGAAGTAATATGTAAAACGCCTCTGGGCCCAAACCTAAGAATAAACAAATATAAATATTTTGTCCAATTTTCTTCAGACCTTGTAAAAAAATAGTTACAGCTACTATTAAAGCCCCACCTAATTTTTCTTCCTTCACTCTCCAGAAGTTGATGTGTCTTGTGCATGTTTTTGTACGTTTTGCTTTCCTTGTAACAAATGTTAACGCCCCCTCTTTTCTGGCTTGTATAAGGTTCCTTAAACCACTCCTTGAAATGGTAATAGAGATCTAAACCAATTCTGGATGGTCAAATTCCATATAAAACAAGCAGAAACCTGAGAACTACCACGACCATTGCTTTGGTCATAATAATTTTCAAGTTAAATTTTAATTATGAAACTAATGACAGCAACCTGAAAACATAAATCACACTCTGTCCCATTAAGAAGATAGTTTGATTTGGTTGATAATGCAAAGGACTGGAGGACGTGGTGCCGTGCAAAATTAGATACATATGCAGCACAATAGGGTATGCCCCAATAAACAACTTTTTCACCCATTTCTACTGCTGTGTGCTGCCTCAGCCTATAGATAACCAATCTTGTGGCTGGACCAGCCTCTGCGGTTCTTAGTATGATTGCAAGACACCCTCAGCAATATCATCAGGAAACTTAGAAAATTAAAAAAAAAAAAAAAGGTTTATTACTTACAAGTCCTGGATATTACATGTCACACCTGGGGCCACACAGTGAGGCCATGGGTAGAAAGAGCCAGGGAGAGTGAAGGCCTGAGGTTCTGCTTTTATTGGGGTGGAGGGTAGGAGCCTAGGGTTTCCTGGGTTCACTTTTTACTGGTGAATTTAAAAGACAAATATGTAACATTTCAAAATTTCTAAAGTGCCTTTGTAGATGTAGTATAAGCTCTGGCAGCTGGCTTTTCTTTTTTGTAATGCAAGTGCTGATGTTAGCTTTGATTGAGAAGGCATCCACTTCAAAATGGCTATCTGAAATACACACAGGGCCAGCCATGAGACTAGCTAAAGACCCATGCCAGGTCCTTCCTGTCCCAGGCTTCAAGCTCCAAAATACCTCAGGTTCCTTTGTTTTGGAGATCTTGGTTGATTTCAGTAATTGACCATTTGGGCTGCTTGTTTTTTCTCTTATGTTTTAAATTTCCATTCTTATGTTTAATTTATTATTTTTTCAATCATTCAATGAAAGTTTATTATTTTTTATATATATTATTTATATATATATGTTAATCACCATACATTACATCATTAGTTTTTGATGTAGTGTTCCATGATTCACTGTTTGCATATAACACCCAGTGCTCCATGCAGAACGTGCCCTCCTTAATACCCATCACCAGGCTAACCCATCCCCCCACCCCCCTCCCCTCTAGAACCCTCAGTTTGACCTTGAAGTCATGAAATACTTAAAGCCACCTTGCTTATATTAATAACCTATTCTTTCACGGACCACTACTTTTCCCAAATCATCACATTTTGATACTATTCAGTATATATTATACATAATTAACAAATTTTTAAAATGATTATTTTATTTTGACACCCAAACACATTACAAGGAGTTTTCTCACACATTACTTCAAAACAACCTTTAAAAGTAGCTAGAGCAGGTTTTTCTGTTTTGTTTTGTTTTTTTTTTTAAGTAAACTCTACACTCAACGTGGGGCTCAGACTGCTGACCGCGAGATCAAGTCGGCTGCTCTACCAACTGAGCCAGCCAGGTGTCCCAACAACTAACTTTAAGTAAAAACTGGGGCACCTGGCTGTCTTAGTCAGTAGAGTCAGCAACTCTTGATCTCGGGGTTGGGAGCTTGAGCTCCACTTTGGACACAGAGTTTACTTAAAAGTAAAAAAAATAAAAATAATAAATAAAAAAATAAAGAGTATAATAAAATATATTGCAATGTTAAGAATACAATTACTTAAATGTGAAACAAGGACAGAAAATCTTGAGAACGCAGTGTTCAAATATTCAAGAGCTAAAATATATTCAGAATATTCAAAAAGTATTAGCATTTTTAAACCATTAGTCTAGAATCCCAACAGGTTTTAACATCCCTGGCAAAATAGGCATTCCTGGTGGATAGTTATGAATTTCATTCTCAGAAACAGAAAATACCATTTATTTATTCTGAACAAAGAATGTAAGAACATAGCAATTCTTTACTCTTAATGAGAGTCAAAGCTAGAAGCTAATTTTTGCCTTTAGACTAATTATGTCTCACTCAGGGCAAGTTAAGCCATAAAAATTAAGAGTAGTGAAAAGCATCCAATGAACATTAATATCTTTAATTACTGTGGTTACAGAGAATGAGAGCTCATTCTTCCTTGCTGTCTGTTAGGAATTTTCAGGAGGAACACAGGTTTGAAAGATATGCTATTCCATTATCTGCTTAGGGACAATAACAAATATTCACAAGTTCACAAAAAGTATTTTCCCACAGAATTAGTCATGACAGCTTTACTGCTTCTTCAATTTAATTTTTCTCAAGTTTATCTTCTTTTATATTTTTGTGATTTAAGTTTATCCTTTAAGTTTCATAACATTTTACTATAAACTTACCAAATGATGTATTTGTAACATTTTTGCATAAAATACACAATCTGTTATTTTTATAGAAAAAGGCATAGTAAATAGTTATGTAATCAAGGGTAGCACATAAGATTATCAACTCTTAAATCTAAAATAGCACCATGTTTGCAGAATTAAATCCAGTTTTTCCCCTCTCTTCGAGAGTGAACAATTACAATTATCTTTATCTCTCCTTACCCAACCTTCAATTACACCAACAGTCTAACAGAGAAAATAATAATTATTTACCAAAAAAAAAATGTTTAAAAATACAAATTAGTTTCTTAGTTAACCTAGAATTTTCAAATGGGGAGAACAAGCATAAAGCATTCTGTTTGAGTCTAACAAAATTTGGAAAAGGTAATTCCAGTACTATGAAATCTCTCTTTTAGATCCCACCAGATGCACATTAAAAAAAATAACCATTGTTTTTTTTTGTTTCGTTTTGTTTTGCTTTTTATTATGTTATGTTAATCACCATACATTACATCCTTAGTTTTTGATATAGTGTTCCATGATCCATTGTTTGCCTATAACACCCAGTGCTCTCCATGCAATACGTGCCCTCCTTAATACCCATCACCGGGCTAACCCATACCCCCATGGCCGTCCCCTCTAAAACCTTCAGTTTGTTTCTCAGAGTCCATAGTCTGTCATGGTTCATCTCCTCCTCTGATTTCCCCCCTTCATTTTTCCCTTCCTTCTCCCAGTGTCCTCCATTGTTTTAATAATTATTTCCCAATCCTATATTTGTTGAGGTTGCGTTCATCTCTTTCAAGACTCTGAGTTAAAACATATTAGTCATTCAATTGCAAACACTGAACAAGTACTCCTGGTGACATGCTTTTCAAAAACAAACTAACCAACCCAGAACCCTTAACCCCAGCCACCCCTTTGTATTGGTGTGTTCTCATAGGCCAATCCACTATACACCTGCCCTAACCACCCCAGGGGTCAGGTACCCCCCAGACAACTAGGGGCATTTCCTATGCCCCAGAGCCTGCTAAGGTCATTCATATTAACTCCTCCTAAGCCTGCTTCCCCTGCCTCACACATTCTTTCCCACAGAAACCACAATAAATGCTCTTGCCCACAGTCTCTCACCTCCCTCTGCCTCGTGACCTACCCGAGTACTTCCTTGGATAGTCACCTGTCACAAGGCATGCTACCCCCTTGAGAATTGTGAGAAATAACTAAATTCTCAATGGTGGTCCATTTCCTGATCTGCTGGACGAACTGTACCTTAAATTTTCCATTAATATATTTTAAAATAGACTCAGGTCCTAGCAACAAGTTAAAAGGTATACCCAATAAACAGTATATAAGATGGTTCTGGAGAATAAAGTAGAAATCTAGTGAGAAAATCTGGAGAGAAGTTTGATTCTCAAGACTTGGGGTGTGTCAGAATCACCTGGGGAGTTGATTAAACAGTCAGTGTACGGCCCCATCACTGAGAGATTCCTGTTCAGTAGATGAGGGGTAGAGATACAGTAAAGAAAATGCAGTCACCAAGGTCATAAAAATACTGGGTCAGCATTCATTCCAAGAAAAGATTTTTGTTGTATTTGATTATTAGGGGTCTTCTAATTCCCAACCCTCATTTATTGATGAGAACAGAGGTCAAGAGTAGGACAAAAGTGTCAGCCCCACAACAATGGATCCTGAATTATGGCATATAATGACCTTGCCTGTTTAATCAACTCCCCAAGTGATTCTGACCCACCCCAAGGCTTGAGAATCAAACTTCTCTCCAGATTTTCTCACTAGATTTCTACTTTATTCTCCAGAACCATCTTATATACCATTTATGGGGAGTGGACCTTTTTATCTTGTTTCTAGGACCTAAGTGTATTTTAAAAACAATTTCCCAGCCCCAAAGCAAAGGGCACAAAAAAAGAAACATACTTACAGTAGCTTGTTGTTTTTCTGCTTTCTCAGTTGTCTCTTTAAGTTGATTTTGCAGGACCTCCTGGAGAGACTTCATTTGTTCTCTAGGAGAAAATAGAGAGCAAAAGAGAGACATAATTCTGTTATTTCCTATGTATATTATGAAAGAAGGCTTTGCTGTGGACATACATTTAGGAAACAACTAGAACTGTATGTAGGGACACGGCTAAGCATGCAGGATGTATCTGAGGATTCTAGTAATAAAGTTTCTCTCCTATGCAAGTACTAAAAGCAAGCCGTATTTAGAGGAAATTGCCTTGCTATTGTGTCTTGTACGAATCCCACTGTGTGAATCATCTGTGAGCTGCATAATGTGTTAAATTAAATCAATGTAATAATTAGAGTTGAAAAGCTAATTTTAGTGACAGCATGCCAGGGTCTGAACATGCTGGTTAGAGAAAAAGTTGCCACAGACTTGCTGATAGAATAAAATTACAACTCCCCTTGGATGCTCCTAATTGATTAATTCTAAGGCAGTATACTTTAGACATCCTTTATAAGGCCTGAGACTTTTTTTATAAAAACGAAGAGAAAAGAGACTTATTTTGACCTTGAGGACTGCCTCATTTATTGTGTCTAATAAAAGAAACCCACATCTGCATGTATATACGCATTATGTCTCAAGCTCACTAATACATACGGAGCTTGTCTTACTTGTTAAAAAATATAAGCATTATCCATAATTTTGCATTCCTCTCAAGGGTCTAAGATTGACTCATTTATGACAAATCATACTATCTTTGTGTGCCTCCATTTTATCACCTAAGCTACCACTTCCAAACATTTTGATACCGGATGAGGGTGTGTGTGTGTGTGTGTGTGTGTGTGTGTGTGTGTGTGTGTGTGTGTTTTATTCTGGGTACAGGAATAAACTTTATTTTTTTTAAGGATTTTATTTATTTATCTGACAGAGAGAGACATAGCGAGAGAGGGAACACAAGCAGGAGGAGCAGGAGAGGGAGAAGCAGGCTTCCTGCTGAGCAGGGAGCCCAATGTGGGGCTCAATTTCAGGACCCTGGGATCGTGACCTGAGCTGAAGACAGACGCTCAACGACTGAGCCACCCAGGTGCCCCAGGAATAAACTCCTCTGAAGCAACAACAGCCAAACAGAAACCTTTCCTAGTCTTACCAGCAGAACTCAAACTAATTTAAAATTCCCAATCTAGTGCCAAAAGACTACCTCTGCAACCTTTGTGTGTAACCACACTACAGAGACTGGGCATAGGAGTGTACCCTCTTAGACCCATTTTTTTCATCACCAAAAAATGGGTACACTAATAGAGCTATCTGATAGGTTTGTAGTGAGGTTTAGATGACATAATGTTGGCAAAATGGCTTAGCACAATGCTTGAAAAATAATCACTTAATAAGTATGAGATCTCGGTCACAACCACCAGGACTACTCTAGGTCCTAAGTTCATTCTTTGACCACCACACCCCACACAGCTGCAAGCTGTTCTTTCGTCCATTGTGATTTAATGATGCTCCCAGATTTCTTACTCTAGAAACTCTTAGGTCTGAGTCTCAATTTCAGGATATGAGTGAGAGCCTGTATGATTGTTAAAATCAATTTGGACTTTGTCAGGGCAAACTATAACTGGAACAAGTTATAAAATAATTACAGTCACTGTGGTTCATAGATGGTTTATGTTTGCCCACATGAAGCTCGTGACATGCTTTTGCTTAGAGCGGACTTAAGACACAGCTTCCATTCCTTCCTCAAATAGGTATCACTTATCAGGATGGTTTCACATGTGGACACTTAAATTTAGACTTCTATCATTCTTTCTGCTATTTTCCACAAAGAGCATTTGTGGCATAATATAATGTAATAGTAATGTCTACATATGTTGTAGGCTTACAATGCATCAGACACTCAGAAAGTTCACACTATGACATAATACTACAGAGAGAAAACTGAAACAGAGAAAGGTGGTGAAATTGTGTTCTAGAGCCTATGTGTTCAAACTCTAGAGTCATTACACTACCTTTATGGAGAGAGAGAGAGAGAGAAAGAGGAGGGAAAGAAATAAGGGAGAGAAGGATGGAAGGATCTACATGCTATCCCTACCACGCAGATCTTCCACAAGCACTGAATAAAAACACAAACTATTGTATTTCTAACTAAAAAAATATAGTAAGATTTTATAATGATTATCATTTTATGATTATTTTTGAAGTTTAAGTTATCATTTTATTAAATGATACAGATTTTTAAATTAAACTATGAAATACTATATATATTTTTTTTTAATTTTATTTATTTATTTGAGAGAGAGAGAGGGAATGAGAGATAGAGAGCATGAGAGGGAAGAGGGTCAGAGAGAGAAGCAGACCCGCCCCCACTGAGCAGGGAGCCTGATGTGGGACTCGATCCCGGGACTCCAGGATCATGACCTGAGCCGAAGGCAGTCGCTTAACGAACTGAGCCACCCAGGCGCCCTGAAATACTATATATTTTATAAAAATAAAAATGAGTGTGTGTGTATCAAAAATTCCCACATCCTGACATCTATAGGCAAAGTAGGGAGCACAAGAAAAATAAACTGTTAAGGTTGTTAACAAACACGGGAGAAGGGAGAGAATGCTGCACATTTTCACATCAAGGAAAGCTATCAGAGTGGTAAATATGATCTTTTGAACTTTCTGAACATCTCTACATCCTCTTTTGCCTTCCAGGCTTATTGCTACACATTCTCACTCTCTCCCGCTTTAGGTGCCCCCAATCTCTGCCTCACAGTCTTGCTAAGTTATACTCCTATGAACTTGCTCATGGGCCCCCTCTACCAACAGTCTTGCCAAGTTATTCTCCTATGAGAGAGGACTCCTGAGTCGCTCATGGGCCCCCTTCACCAACAGGGAGTTACCCCACCTATCGCTACTACTCTAGGGTCCTATTTGGGATACTGAGATGAGTCTTCAATTCTAAAGAACTGGCGGGCCCACTGACACCTATGATAGGCTGCTCAGGGTGTTGAGCACATTTCTGCACAGAATTTCATTACAAGGAATTTGAAAGGGCAGCTGCTTCATACATCTTCATATCAAGTTATAAATATAAAAAACACACTCACCCAAATCACACTACAGGAAGGCATTTTTTTTCAAGTGGTTACCAACTTGTATCGTAAAAACATCTCAGATGGACCTCTTGCCACGATCCCGCACGTTCCTTTTGTTTTCAGAGAACATGATATTTTACAATCCTTTGGTACACAGAGTCTAAAACTCCCTTCTAGGAATCTCCACCCACCAACCACCATAGTGAATAAAATGTCATCACTTTTTTCTAAGTTTTCAGTTACTTTAGGTTACCCTCTTATCTCCCAAGTCTCCATTTTGTGGGTACACACACTTACTCCTCATATGGTATGGTTTAGATTTGGTCCTGTGCTATGAATATTATCTAGGCTGTCAAAATATTTCTGAAAATGTAACACTCAAGAGTCAACACAACATTTTGTGCTTGCTCGCTCTCTCCCACCCACGTGTGCACACAAAAATATGCACACACATTCCTTTCTCAGTCTCAACAGAAAGGCATTCTTTGCTCTCTCTGCATGGTTGTATATGGCCACCCCATAACCTCTGAGTTTACTTAGTTACAGTCTGGTTCCAGCTACACAGGGAGACTGATCAGATGTCTCTTGGTTACAATTCCAAGAGGGAAATTCTGATTGATTTGGTTTTGTCTTGGTGATCACCTCTGAGCCTATTAACTGTTGAGTGATCTTGGAGTCATATAAAATTAGCATGACTTCTTGAGACCACTCCTGCAAGTAAGTGTCAGGTGGCAAGCATCCCAGAGGACGAGGGGTTATTAAGAGCGGGATGTACAGCCAAATGGTATCTACAACACAGTGCACTGTTTCAGACTCAGATAATACTTCTAAATTTGCAATTAGTCAATATTTTTTTATATTCCAAAATAATATTCTTTTTCTTTTATGGTTTATGAGTATCTCTTCTTTTCAAAATGAGATACACAGCCTGCTTCATCTTCGGGTAACCATGATTTTTATATATCTCTAAGTACTCAACAAAAATTAATATATCAAATGTCATATCCTTTTGAGAAATTACCTATTATTAGAATTTACTGAATTTTCTATTTTGACTTTGTGTGCATTATACAAGTTACACATTTTAAACAAATTTTCAAATTCTGGGGGCGCCTGGGTGGCTCAGTTGTTAAGCGTCTGCCTTCGGCTCTGTTCATGATCCCAGGGGCCTGGGATCGAGCCCCATATTGTGCTCCCCACTCAGCGGGGAGCCTGCTTCTCCCTCTCCCACTCCCCCTGCTTGTGTTCCCTCTCTCATTGTGTCTCTCTCTCTGTGTCATTTAAATAAATAAAATCTTGGGGCACCTGGGTGGCTCAGTTGGTTAAGCGACTGCCTTCAGCTCAGGTCATGATCCTGGAGTCCCAGGATCGAGTCCCACATCAGGCTCCCTGCTTGGCGGGGAGTCTTCTCCCTCTGACCCTCTTCTCTCTCGTGCTATCTCTCATTTGCTCTCTCTCAAATAAATAAATAAAATCTTTTAAAAATAAATAAATAAATAAATAAATAAATAAATAAATAAATAAAATCTTAAAAAAAGTAATAAAAAAACAAGTTTTCAAATTCTGGATAAAACTTTAAAATCGTGGTATCAAAATATCTGCTCCATTCCGTCCTTTCATTGAAAGACTTGGCCCAACGTCTGGTAGTTTGTATACCATACCAAATGTGTAGATGATAACCTGAAATTCTTAATAATCCTAACCATGTTTTTTTTTTTTTTTCTGGTTTCTCTGGATATTTTGTGTGTCATGTAGAAACAGCTAAACAGATTTTAGGATGATAATAGCAAACTAAAGGAATAGGTTTTTCCTTATCCACATCATGCACAAGCCTGTCTCCTCAGCTGCGTCTCCACAGCAATGAAGACAGACTTGATTCCTCTTTCACACCATGGTTCTCACTGCTGAGATCACCCCGTCCTGTCCTCCAAGCCAGCTTTCCTCAACCTGGTCTGTGTCTCTTTCCCTCTACACTGAACAATGTTTGCAGAGTAATCCTCCTAAAATACTTTATGTCATGCTCTTACAGAACTACCTAAAATGGGTTCTCTACTACTACTGGCTGAAGTCCATTCTGGCCCAAGATTTAGAAGTTTTTATCTCTGGTTCTGGTCATACACACATACAGCTTCATTTGTTGATCAGCCCTAACTCACTCCGTCTTCCTCGGTCACGGCAACCTGCTCAGTGGAGCTGCGCATCCATCACGCAGAAGACACTTCCATTCTGATTTTATTATCCTCTCCTGCCATGGAATGCTCTACAAAAAGTCATCATTTTCAGTGTCTCTTCATTCATTTTGACTAGTTATTTCTATTTGAAATGTGGTTTATAATTCTCCGACACTAATTCAATGAACCAGGGACACTTGTGTGACATTGAGCATAGGTGCTTGAAGAGGTGGTTTATTTCAAACCAATAAAATCACTTAAAATGATCTGTTTTGGGGAAGATGCTTGGACAATATTTTATGCAAGCTCTTTAATACTGAACTTTGAAGGGAATTTCATGTTCAAGAAATAATAATTTCACTTAAATAATAAAAAGAGTCACTACAGGACACTCAGTTTGATATTTTTAATGTGTCATCAGCTTGATCCGAACACACGTCAATGATAGGTTTCTGGGTCAAAAGGCAAGGACAGTGGCGGAGATACAAGTTGGCAAGAAGGGACTACAGAGCGTAGTGTGCTTAAGCTTTCTAGCAGCTTAATGCTTTGTCATCAGTGAACTAAAGCATCGGACAGAGCCTCTAATAAGTGTATAAAAAAAATGCTAGCTTGTTTCTACCTTAAAATAGCTTTTTTTTTCCTTTGAGAGGCAATTTCAAATCATACAGCTTTTTATACTGCATAGAAACCTATCGCACAATACACTGTCTTCAAAAAAACACAATCCAACACTAATAAGATTACACTAATTCTACTTATATTGTTAGTAAGATTACCCCATTCGCCACCACCCCCACCATTACCACCATGATCAAGTTTTGATACTATTACACATGGCCCACTGAGATTAGTGTTATCGCATCTATTGATGGGCAGACTTCTCAGGGTCTATCTTCCTAGGATTAATAGGGGAAAATTCTACAGATCCATAAACATTCTGTGATCTGCAGACAAAGCAGCATAGCATTACGATTACTAGAGAACTTGTTAGAAATGCACAATTTCCAGGTTCACCATAGATTTACTGCATACAAACCTGCATTTCCATAAGATTCTGATGCCTTCAAGTGTAAGTAAGAAGATAAGTGAATTAATGCATTTAGAATGACCTGATTTTTGTGAAATTTCTGAATGGAGTTTGACACTCTGGGGAAAAAAAGAACCGAGAAAATGAAAAGAAAGCGCAGTCTTACCTTTGTCTTTGACCTATTTCCAGAAGCTTCTCAACATCAGTTTTGGAAGATTTCTCATCATTTTTCAAAGACTGATAAGAAAAGTGAGAAAAGAAAATCTTATTCAAGTGATAAATTGAGGCTCACTTTACTTTTGTCTCTACGGCACAGGTGTGACTGCTCTTAGGCCCTGAAACAAGAATGTGCAAATGAGGCCACAGTGATCCTCATGGCTCTAAGGATGCACACAGGAATTTATGACACCAAGTACAGGTGCTACCCAGTGGTGAAAGGGAATAAGCCAAGTCTCAGCCTTTAGACGTTCGATGGAGGGGAAAATGCTCTCCAATATCTAGGTCTCTTTACAAGTCAATATAAAACACATCTTCTGCTCTCCAGTTGAAGTTTCGTTGTGTTCTCTGCAGGCATGTCAAAACAGCTCTGGCATAGTTTCTACAAATTCAAATGGACATAAAAGACCTCTCTGAATCAGCTAAGTAATAACATAATTCAAGATCAAAGCAGCCCAAAAGCATGTACCTGTTTGGTCTTGTCTATTATTAATGAGTAATGTAGCAGAATACACAGAAAAACTAGGGCTATGTAAAATGGTAACTGCTCTGACAAGATAGGGTATTAAGGGGGAAAAAAAATAAAAGTACCATCTCAGTCATTAGTGTTTATTTACTCTGGCAAATTCAACATCCACAGACCATGACTTCAAGCAGAAAAGCCCACTGAGCTATTCTCATTACAGAATCTGTCCCATTAAGTCTTCCCTAAGAACTTTCTTATTTATACTCAATAAACTATTTACCAGGGTAACCTATCAGAAGCTGAAACTGAGGAGCAGTGATAGTGTTTGTGGGAAGAGCAGTGGTGGCGGGCAGAAAATTGACAATCTTAGGAATGGCAAATATTTTGTTTACTTAATATCTATTTAACAAATATCTATCATGAATTATGCAAAGTCCTGTGCAGAGGCACAGTGTCTGCCTTCACAAATTTTATAGTCTAATGCTAAAATCAGGCAATTTTCATATAGCAAAATCAGCAGTCTGATTGGGAAGTGATGCGCTGCATAAGAGAAACTTCTTTCTGGGCGCCTGGGTGGCTCAGTTGGTTAAGCGTCTGCCTTCGGCGAAGGTCATGATCCCAGGGTCCTGGGATCCAGCCCCACATCTACAGCCTGGAGCAGGTCACAAAACCTGCCCTTTGACTTCCTTAGGTGAAAAACACAGATGAGATTTTTGAAGTGTCTACTTTAGACAGTTACTGGAAAACTCAGAGGACAAAACAGATGTGGAAAAACACTTGATGAAAAGTGCAATATAATATGCTTACTCATTTATTGACCATATACTATATTCTGGGCATTCTGAAGGAAACCAGGATCAAGCAGATGACTGTTTTCAAGGAATTTAAAATAAAAAAACAAACAAATGGAAAAGAACATGAGATGCAGAAACAGAAAGGGTAGATACAGACAGGAATCAGCAAGGTATATATCCGTAGAAGAGCCGAAGTGTCCTTATTATTTACCCAGGAATGTCCAGGGAAGTGAGGTATACTTGGAAATTATTCTTGGTTCCTTTAAGGATGCTAAAGGTTGAGACACCTACTAATTAATCAACATAATGCTTCTTGGCTGACCTGCGTTACCATCCATTACTGTCCCATCCAGGGGCTATGGTTACAGAGAAGACTGTAATGAGACTCTCAAAGCTCCTGTCTTCATGAAGTCCCACTGGGGGAAAAATGTAGAATGGGCTATGTTGTATTCACTATGAGTTTAAAACCTAGAATCAGTATTTATTAGATGAATGTTTGGGCACTTCCTTGGCCTATTTGAGCCTTGTTTCCTCATTTTATGAGTAAAATTTTGTGAAGAGGTTGCTAAGAGGATTTAATGAGATCAAAAATGAAAAATATCTTGCACACTGGCTGACAGGAAATGGAAAAAGAAAGGCATTTTAAAAATTGCAACTACATTCTGTAGTACAATTGCTACCCTTTTAAGAAACATGATTCTATGAAATTATACATTGTTATCAAGCAATTTTCCAGACTGTGACGGAGTGTCTTAACTTAGGCTACCTGTATAGAGACAATGAGTGTCCTGATCACACATGGGCATCTCACCATATGCATGAAATAGTTTCGAAGTGCCAGGTGTTCCATCCCCCTGAGAAGGTACAAGTGTACTGAACATTCTTTGCAGCCTCAGATAGCTGGCGAATTCCTACTTAATGATAAGGTGCAACTCTGGTATCAGCTTCCTCCAAAAATTCACTTAGTCCCCTTTTCACCCAAGTTAGGGCTTCCCTAATGTTCTGTATATTCTTCCATCATAGCACTGTCCTTCCTTACCCTGCTACCTGTCTCTGTGTTCTAATGGTTCTATGAAGTGGTTTTTCTGCTCTTATTTTTATGTTCAAGTTGTAACATAATTTCTAGAACAAGAGCTGGGGCACTTGGCCCTTATACCTGCTCTACCACCTAACTCTCTCTGTGTCCTCTATAGTTTCTTAACCTTTCTCTAAGTCTTGTTTTCTCACCGACAAGATGAAACTACTAATAACCACAGCATAGTTTTCATGTAAAAAATAAAGATTGTACAAAGAATACCTAATGCAAGACCTTGACCATGTTCAGTAAGCTGCCATGGCTATGGATACCATCATCACCATCATCATCATCATCATCATCAAGGAACAGAAAGCTAAGGACAACACTGACTCTACATGGTTCAGAGACATGATTTCATGCAGTAACTAATACACAGGCTCTGAAGCCAGGTTTCCTGTATTTAAACTCTGGCTTCCCTTGTGACCTTCAAAAATAACTTATCTTTTCTAAGCATAATCCCTCATGTATAACAAGAAAAAAAACACATTAATAGTATCTTTCTCACAGATAGATTATGAAAATTAAAATTATGTCCTCAAAAAATTCAGTGTTAAATCAAATATCAAAATATCCGATATTTCAGAAAACTTTTCTTATCAGATATAGACTTTGTCTTTGGCTTTTGATGGAGATTTCACTGAGTATTAATACATTTTCAGAGATGACTCTTGCCTTTCTAAGATATTTTCTCATTTTAGTAATGAGGACTATTAAAGAATCTTGAGAATTCTCCTTTGTGGAGTTTAAGATTCTCCTCTAGAGATCATTCCTATATTCATTCAACTCTTGGTCATAATTAGTTTTCACCATTTTATAATATAAAAAACACAGGGGACAAATTGATCTTAGAAGCTATGAGAGACTGATGGCCATGCCAAGCACATAATTTTCTCCTTTCTGAATTTGCAAACCACAGATTCCCAGACTGCATTTCAAATGGCATTTCTTTTCAAAGCTCATATGATAATAAGTAAATCCCCTGGTCAAACCCAGAAACATATTCAAAACTGGTAAAAAATGCAGGAGTCTTTAATGTTAATCCACTGAGATAAACCGAGTGACTCCTCAGTCTTTGCTGCCAGGAAAATTAGTTTTCATCTCACCTGAAAGTTGACTTTAATTCCACCAAGTTCTCTTGATGTCTTTGTCAGCTGATGGAGGATGTTGCTTCGTTCCCTAAAGACTTCTTTCAGCTGCTTTTCTAGCTCTTCATAGTCCTGTCTAACACAGAAAAAAATCACATGAGAGCCCCTCAAAAGCTTCCACTGGGCTTCAGCCTCTTTAAATACTATCACGGGCCCCTTGCATTTCAAGCAAAATCTAGATTAACTGAAACCTTAATTACTAGGATGTTTTGTTTTTCCTCTTTCACCTAAAAGGAGAAAACTGAAAACCAGTCTTATAACAAAGGTTTCATTTTTTAATTGAGGGCTCTCTAGGCTACAGAGAATTTCCAGAACAATACTATCTTTGACAGGCTTAAGATAGTTTATCAGGTACCTCTTGGAAAACAGATATTTTCCATGACATCATCATTCTTTTTCCTAAGGTCTTTGACATTTTATAGCAGAGGATATGACTTGAACCAAAGTATTTCAAATACATAGGTTCTGACACTGGGGAGATATACTTGGGGGTACAGCCAGGGCAGAACGTAGGTGTCTTGCTTCATCTCTGGTAGGTAGATAAGGAAGTCCATAGAAAAGACAGCCCTTCCCCAACATGTCTAAGAATTTCTATTGCTATTAAAGAGGTAATGGAAGAAACAAAATATCTATGAAATCAGTAAATAAATACAGTAATTAGAGTAAAATTTGAACAGACTTAACAATTTTCATGAAGGAAAGACTTATTTAATGTCATAAAATCTATACATATTTTTCTCTTACTTTTCTCATATGGTCTTTGTAAAACCGGTATTGTAATTCTCATTTTGTAAACATGAAAGAATTAAGCTCAGAAGAATCAAGTTACTACCCTAAGATCCTATTCAAGTAATGTATGAGCAAATAGGATGTGTTTGTGTATATTTAGGTATGTTATGGCAAGTTCTGTGTGTGTGTGTGTGTGTGTGTGTGTGTGTGTGTGTGTGTGTGTGTGT